CAAAGTGGAGTTTTGGGCCATTGAGAATCACCCAGTCACATTCAAAATTTTAACGGGAGTCAGCAGACAAAGTACCTCTTATAAACCTCAAATAAATTTCAGCTGTTCCAGTTGGTTGAACCTTCGAATGCTAATCTTGACATTTGATCCTCACCTTTGAGAGTGAACTTCAATAAACGTTTTTCACACTTCCTGCATAGTTGCAAAAATGTGTTTGGTTTGTCCAATGAGTTGATAATGGCTTTTTTTTTTTTTTTTTTTTTTTTTTTTTAGCGTCACTGATATACTTTTTACATGACGAAGACTCACACAAATAAGTCACTTTTACATAAGGGACACCCGTTTTTAAGCTGTTTGACCGCTTTGCCACGGCCGCCTTTCATTCAATATGAATGTGGCCTCTTGTGTTGTCCTTTCCTCTCGGGTCTTTGTGTGACGTCGGACACGTTAAATCCAGCCAATGAATCCAATCCAAAATAAGGGGATCAAAATTTTGTAGTTTTATTTTTAGACGACTTATTACGTCAGTCAGCATCGATAATCACATTTATTTCCCTTGGCGAGCATTCTGTAAGTGGAAGGCTTAAGCAACACCAACCCACACACATGTGTGCGCACACACGCACAAATACATTTTTTAAGTCATTTTGAAGTCATTTTACATTTAAAATCACATTGCATTAACAAATGCAATGTGATTTTTGAAATAATTATCTGTGTATATTCCTTGTACAGTAACAGTAATTCCACTTTTAGTCTTGTTTCTCACAAGTATCTGGACTTTTCTATTGGACAAACCAAATCCTGATGTAATCAAAAAGCAGTACTATGTTGAAATTAGGGGAGGCGCTTATTTTAGCTAGGCCATAGCCCTGTCTAATAGAAAATAAGTGCTTTTGCACCACTCTGTGGCATCATGATGTCAAGAAACTGTTTCAAGTGAGAGGAGGAGTTTCTATTTGAAGGGCCATAGTCATGTCTAATCTTAATGTAGTATTGTGTCGTCACCTTGTGGAGTCATGGTGTCAAGGAGCTATGCAGATGTGAGGGGAGGAGCTTTTATTAGACGGGCAAGAGCTGTGTCTGATATAAAAATCATGATTTGGCGCCATTAATTTTGGCCCAATAAATTCTTATTTAATAAGAAATGTTCGATTGGGTCTACGCACGCATGCACACACACACAAACACACACACACACACACACACACACACACACACACACACGCACACAGAGTTGACCAATTCTGAGTTGCGGTGGGATCAACTTAATATTATTTTCCGTGTGTAGTTTTATGGCAATTCTGCTCTGATCTGATTTGAAAGTAAGCCCGGGAGATTCAAGATGGACATGTAATCTTGTACGCTGGCCAAAGTATTAATGTCGAAATCCCCCAAACCAGCGCAGTCAAATGCCAACGTCAGAAATAACCCTGGCTGCACATGAATGGTTGCACAATGAAAACCGTGTGTGTGTGTGTGTGTGTGTGTGTGTGTGTGTGTGTGTGTGTGTGTAAATAGGAAGTGGGTTTCATGTAAACAAGCACACCATCCAAAAGTGATGCATGTCCGTGTGGACAAAGACAAATTCATATCATATCAGGTGGTGAGTTTTCCACATATTTTACATTCCAGCTGCAGCAGATTTTGCCGCAATCCTTTTTTGAATGAGTGACCAAGTTCACGTCTGCATTGCCGCGACTGCACCCAAACCATCGGTGATATCAGCAAATGGGATGACGCCTAAAATGGGATGGAAGGACACAGTGTTAGTGGTTGTCATGCCACTGAATACTTTTTTCCTCCTATTGGATAGCAATGACCAGTTAAGGTTGCATCTGATTGGTCAAAGTCTGATAAAAGCGTTCATTTGTCCATTTTTTTTTTTTGCATTTTCTTAGTGCATGTCTGTGTGTGCATTTTTGGTTTTGTGTATCTGTGACCGTATCTTGTTTTTGTTTTTTTTGTTGTGTTTTTGTATTTGTGTGTGTATGTGTTTGTTAGTGTGGTTCTGCGTTTTTGCATGTTTGCGTGTGAATGGGTGTGCGTGTAGAATATGTGTGAGTTTGGTTTTGTTTGACTTTGTTTTTGTGGGCGTTTCTGTTTTTTTGTTTTTTCAATTTTTTTTTTTATTTTTGCATGTGTGGTAATGCGTTATTGAGTGTGCGTTTCTGTTTGCGTGTTTCTTTGTCTGTGAGATAATTTATGTCTGTCAGCTTGTGTGTGTCTGTTTTTGCACGTTTGTGTGTTTTCATGTTCATTTGCTGTGTCTTTTTTATCTTCTTGTGTGTGCATAAAATTGTGTGTGTTTGTTTTATGTGAATGTCCGTTTTTTTGTGTGGTTTTTTTTTGCATTTGTGTGTGTGTGTGTGTGTGTGTGTGTGTGTGTGTGTGTGTGTGTGTGCATAAAATGTCTGGTGTGAACAGTGCGGCACGGGTGCTCAACGTGAGCGGTTTAATGAATTAAAAGAGTGATTTCTAAAGAGCAGTGACGCACAGCCAGGCCCACTTTAATCCAGATTACACGGAAACACTAATCCTGTAAAAATACTCTTTCTTATGGACAAATAATGTCTCCCCACCACCTCCCTAACGTGCAAGTTTAATTGTTACGCGCAGAGATGCGATGCATATACCTTCAGTGTGTGGGGGCGGGGGTGTTACCTGAAGGGGTGCGCTTGATTTAGGCGGGCAGGCAGCAAGCGAGCTGTATTTTGTAGTCGTGCGACAAAGAGTACATTTTTGTCACCTTGCAATTCTATCCGTGTGGGTTTACATCACCAGTTTGACGCATAGTACGTTAGCACAAACCGCAATGTTTGCCAAGTGTGCCAAATTGAAGCGGGTAGGGCCCGAGAGACGGCAGAAATTGGCCCATATGAACGCCAAACCAACGGTACTCTTCTGACACTACAAAAATGATGTCGGCAATCCACCGACGAGGGCCTCTTACTAGCTGTTGCTGTCTAGTGGGTGGTATGGCGCCCCGAGAGACGGCCGATGTCGGTCCATATCAACGACACAGCTGGACCGCCCCTGTAGAGGCTGCAATGACTTGTCATTGATTTAGGCTGATTTCTGACATCTGTCAGTGCACTCCCTGATAGCCTACAGCCAGCAGAAAGCTCGTCAAGGGTATCCCGAGACATGGCAGAAATTGGCCCATACCAATGACAAATCAGTGCGATAGACACTGCACTGACATTGTATTGGGAGCCCCCCCAACCGGGCCCCATACTCAATGTTGCTGTCTGGTGGCTACAGGGGTGCTCCTGAGAAAGGCAGAAATTGTCCTAAATTAGTGACACAAACCTACACTGGAATTACATAAATTGAAGGTGCATTGCATTTTTTCTTAATGTGTTCGGCCGTGTGTGTAATTTTCCTCAATTTAAGCACATTGTAAATTTTGAAAGGGCGCATCATGTTGCAGCGGCTGTGTGAGATCTTACTTGATGTAAAAACTTCCCAAACCAATTGCAAGTGAATGAAAACGATGGCACAGGTCATTACATAACGACTCCGACAGGCTGTCAACAGTTAATCTGCTTAGCAACACCAACCGGGGGTCTTCCCAATGTCTGCCGCAACTACGGGGTGTTATTATCTCCGACCTGCACTTGACTGTAATTACACGCATGTCGCATTTTCATCATGTGAGTCTCTCATTGTGGTTAGCCTGGCGGTGGGTGGGGGTGGGGGGAGGCAGATGGGGGGAGATTGCGAAGGAAAAAGGACACTTTATTTGTTGTCAGGTTAAATCAGCTTTATAAACAGAACATAGATCAGGGAGGAACAAAGAAAAGTCATGAGGAAAAGAATTTCCCATCTGGAGAGCAGAAACTATGCCAGACTGAACACATATGATGCTGCGAATGATGTACAGTGGAACCCGTAATGTCACACGCCCCAATACTGTGCTACGAACTCAAGTTGTGGAACAATAAACCTCGGAAACTCGCACCTCATTTTCGTGGTGCCCACAAAAAACTTTTTTCTGATCCCTGTAGATTTTGAGCATATTGTGTTACTTTCACCCAAATTGGGGTTCATTATATTTCAAACGGCAGATTGGATTGAATTTGAGTTTTTAGGCAGGCACAAAAGCCATTTTTGACAGTTTTGTGGAGTGACATCAAAGTTAATGTGTTGTAACACTCTTTGAAAATGTTGGTGGCAGATGTGGCATGATCCAATTGGGCTCCTATATACCACAAAAAAAATAAATAAAAAAACAGCTGTCCCTCAAAGGGTTAAATATTGAAAAAATATGAACCATGATGCTATAGTCCGCTATTGTGTTTGTTGTTACATAGAAACTTGTTGAGCTTCTATGCGAGTCTGTAGGCATGTGGGTTCTAATCTGTAGCTGTTGACTAATCTCTGATTTGTGGTGGGGGTGGGGGGGTAACGGGGGGGGGGGGGGCACCCAGGGAATAAAAGTCTTCTTGTGTTTTCCGGGATTACTGCGAATTCTACGCACAGATCGAGCGTGACCTTCAGAGTGTGGCCGCTCGTATGCGGCATGTGCCCGAAGGGGCTCGTTGCGAAAATAGATTGGAAATAATATCGAGCGGTGCTGATTTATTTAGCAACATCAATTTGGATAAAAATTCAACAAGTGTGAAAGTATCACTGCCCAAGTACAGTTCAGCTGTCTTTAACTTTTAAATTCAATACATTTGCAATTATAGTCGTTTTTAAGAGATGTTTGTTTTTCAACAAATTTTGCGGCTATATATTTATTTATTTTTGATGTAGAAAAAAATCCACCCATTAAAACTAGAATAACAACATCGTAATATAATGGATAAAATTAAAAAAAAATTCATGATAAAATTGAATCTATCATCATATTTCAACCTTGTAGTCGTAATTTAAGATTCATTGATTTACGAGAATGGCTTTCCGATTGGTAAGAAGTGACCCTACAGTGTCCCAATTTGAACAGGAAGGGTCTCAAAATGAACAGGAAGTGACCCGGGAAGTACCCCAAAATGAAAAGTCTTCACTTTAGTTTTTTTTTCTTTTAAATAAAGAAATAAATGAATTCAGTTCGCCATCGATGATGTTTTTCAACTAAAATTACTAATGAACATGAGGGACACTGCACGTTACAGATACGACACACACAGTCCCACACACACACACAGTCACACACACACAACATAAAACAAAGCACTTTCACTTCTGTACCTGTGCGAGAGAAAACCACCAGCACCACAAGCGAAATGACTGTGCAACATTGGCAATGTTAAGTTTATTTGGACTTGTTGTCAATTTGAGGCACTTCAATCTTCTCCCCGGTGAGGAACTGCCAGATTCCTCCTCGGTAGTTCTCGTTCCCCAAAGCGTACAGGAAGACGTTGAAGGTGGGGGAGGTCTTGGCCAGGATGGGAGCCATCTGCGGCACAAAGATGTTCAACGTTTTTTAATTAATTCAAATTCTGTAACTCTGTGATTCCCATTCAGGTAAAGTAATAAATAGTTGTGGAACAATCATTGATCCTTGAGGTGCTCCGCAAGTGAGCCTCTGATGAACTAATATTCTTTATTCTCTTTGCCCTGTAAGCTTTCTACCCATGAGTAGCTAACATCTCATAGCCCATATTTCTCCCGGTTTCTTAGTAATTATCTGTGAGCTGTAGAATCACGCACTTGCTGCAAGTTGATATACAAACCAACAAGAATACTCATTTTAATTTGCAATTGCAATTTCTTCCATAAATAGTAATAAATAAATAGTGGACCAATCATTGATCCTTGAGGTACTCCACTAATGAGCCTCTGATGAACTAATATTCTTTATTCCTTCTCTTTGCCCTGTAGCTTTCCACCCATGAGTAGCTAACGTCTCGTAGCTCATATTTCTCCCGGTTTCTCAGTAATTGTCCGTGAGCTGTAGAATCACGCACTTGCTGCGAGTTGGAATACAAACCAACAAGCATACTCATTTTAATTTGCAATTGCAATTTCTTCCACCGTTGGAATTACTACTCCACTAGGTGGTCCTGTTTCCCCTAAAACCCTGTTTTCATTCATTATTTTAGGTATTTATTTTAGTTATATTGGAATTACTACTACACTAGCTGGTCCTGTTTTCCCCTAAAACCCTATTTTCATTCATTATTTTAGGTATTTATTTTAGTTATGAACAGATTAAATTCTTACACCACTTGCATTTTTCTTCAGTTTAACTATTTTTTGGTTTTACTGTTGCTGTAAGTTGCACAAAAAGTGTGTCGAAGACAAAATGGATTCACAAAGTGTTAGTATCGCAGTGGGTGGATCCTCTTACCATCCTGAGCTTGGGTGAGACCAGGTTGGCATTCTCCACTGCGGCGTAGAAGGCCAGAAGGCCGTAGGGGCCCCAGCACAGCAACATGGTCTTAAGGGGAGTATTGGGGTTGAACTGCAGAAGGTGACAACACCAGTTAGAACCAAAGCTCACACAAGACATACTATTAGGTACCCCGACATATCACAAGCGACAGGTTTCTAAAGCCTTTACAAAGCATTAATTTACAAAATTATCAATTAAAAAGAATTTTATGTGAAGTAACTATTTGGCAAACTATTTTTTTTTGCCCCATGTCACTCTTGCCTCGCTGATTCTGACAATTTTTAATTGCAAAAAATGGTTTATCACTGTGTTATAAAACGTTCATAAACCATTAAGAAACTGTTATAATCAGGGGTCAAGAATTTTATGTGAAGTAACTATTTGGCAAGCTATTTTTTTGCCCCAGGTCACTCTTGCCTCGCTGATTCTGACTCCCAATTTTTAATTGCAAAAATTGGTTTATCACTGTGTTATAAAACCTTCATAAACCATTAAGAAACTGTTATAATCAGGGGTTCAGTGTTAGGCCAGCTACTCCTTGCTCAATGTGTGACAGCCATCTCTGATCCTGACTGCGTGAATAAATTGCTTGAAAAAGAGAAGAGAGAGTTCATTATAATACTATTATGAATCAATAATAAACATGTAATAACCTAGAATTCACTATTTATTTCCAATAAATAATTACGTCAGAAGGGCAATCTTATCAAAAAGTGGTACTGACGTCGCAGTCATCTGCTGAGTAAAAGATATTAATGAGAAGGGGCGAGTACAGGATTAACCCTTGAGAATATCTCTCTTTATGCTTGATCATAAATCCAACTGCTAATTCATTAGCCTCACTCCGTTTCATGTAATCCACCATGCCAGGAATTCACTCCAGCCTTCTATTCCTACTTAGTGACGTTACACTGCACTTTATGACAATAGTCAGTGAATTCCAAGCAGAGGGTTTGATTAAAACGTGCAGTTTCCTGCTAGCTAGGCTGCTAAATTTACGCCTCCAGCCAATATAAAGAATTTCATAGGCCACATGTGGTCGCCTAATCATGTTGTCGTCCAGGTGTTTTACTTTTTAATAAAAGTATCTCCAACAGGACAAATCTGGATCTGCGAGCAATAACCTCACGTGATGAAAATCGCTCACGGCAACTAACCGGGTTGACACGGCCATCACCCCCCTGGTACAAGCCGCGGCACTATTGCGCCGTGCTTTTGTTTTTTTTTTTCCTCCCCTTGCGCGCGCATTGTCGGACTTGGGCTTCTGTCCTCATTGCGAACAGAAGCACTGGGTCGTGTGTTGATGATGACCTACATAATGTGTTTTGTGGCTCTCAACGAGGCGCGCCGGAAGAATGTGCGTGCATGTGTGTGCATGCGTGCACTAGTCGTTGAATTCCTGCGTTTTCTCCCGCTGAGTCACGTCGGATGAGTTGGGTTTGAGAATTCCGCTTCTGCTGGCTGCCGTGTTGCAAATTGCAAGAGTATCACATGCGACTTTTGTGTTTCCACTGTTTGGTAGTGTTTAGTGCTTAAAAAAATGTAATTAAAAAAATAGAAGCAACAAAACAACAATTAAGCAATATCACGCAAGAGGGTTTGATGTTATTCAGTTTCTGGTTCGGTCATTGTTTTGTTCGGTCATTGTTTTCCAAAGTAGAAGCAGATCTTTGCAAATGTTTTATTTTGATGAAACACAAAAGTTGCGATGGCTTTAACCCTTTCATGTAACCTGATAACATAAGATGCCTACTGTAATTACCCAGTTTCCCTGAAAGGGTTAAATAAATACTCGGTTATTAAAATAGTTGTTGGCTGATTTTTACATGGAAAAGTTGTCGATTGAATCACTTCATTTCAATACCTCTACACAGTGAAAACAAAAGTTGAGTGAAGTCAAAATTAGCATCTAAAGTTGGGCAATCAACCATGTTGCTGATGTGAAATTTGGCCTTCCTGCATTTTCAACACAGAAGTAAGAGTTTTACAGAACGAATTGTGCCTTGTATTGTCCCCAAAACGTAAAGATCTGAGTCAAAACAACTCAGCAAATCATTTTAGTAGAAAATAACATGCTTGCTTTGTTGTGCTCACAAACATTCTTGCCATAAATGTCAATAATGTATATGTGAATGTTGTTTCAACTTAAATAACTCTTTTAGCCCAAGACAATGTTGGTTGTGTTTTTCAAAGTGTACTCGCAACTACTCCAGGGTGTATCCCATCTCCTCTCTGTGTAGCTCCTCTCAAAAGCACAATGAATACATTTTTAACCCTGGTTAATGGTTGTCATTGTACTCACCTTGGGGTTTCCAGTCTTCTTGAATTTCTGTGCGATGGACTGGTACGAGGACATGACAACAAAGACCTGGATGGCCATGTTGAAGACGCTCATGGGGATCAAGTAGGAGACATAGTTCCTACGCGGACGCAGTGGAAGTCAGTACCACAAGCACGAGAGCGGGGAATTAAAAATATGCGTCAGTACCGGTCGCCCTTGCTGTAGTCCAGAGTGCAGCAGGTCCTGAGGGGCTCGTAGTCGTACTCGCCCCAGCCGATGAGAGGCATGGCGGACCAGAAGGCGGTGAAGAGCCAGATGAAGATAACCAGAGTGATGGCGCTGCTCCATTGCAGCTTTGTCCCTGAGGAGGACATGATTGCTAAGTAGATTCTGTCCGTTGTGCGGAGAGGATTGATGACTCAAAATGCCGCCCGTGACTTTCTTGACCTTGATGTTCTATATGCCCCTCCCCCCACCCCCCTTCAGGTCTCTTTTGTGGAATGATAATTGAGCAGATGTATCCATCCGTTTAGTCAGTACCACAAGCACGAGAGCGGGGAATTAAAAATATGCGTCAGTACCGGTCGCCCTTGCTGTAGTCCAGAGTGCAGCAGGTCCTGAGGGGCTCGTAGTCGTACTCGCCCCAGCCGATGAGAGGCATGGCGGACCAGAAGGCGGTGAAGAGCCAGATGAAGATAACCAGAGTGATGGCGCTGCTCCACTGCAGCTTTGTCCCTGAGGAGGACATGATTGCTAAGTAGATTCTGTCCATTGTGTGGAGAGGATTGATGACTCAAAATGGCGCCCGTAACTTTCTTGACCTTGATGTTCTGGATGCCCCCCCCCCCCGCCACCCTCCTTGCAGGTCTCTTTCGTGGAATGATAATTGAGCAGATGTATCCATCCGTTTACATCCTAAACCACCCTCGAAAGTGACGTCAAAGTGTCTTTTCCTTTCAGCCAGCCCTCCATTAAAAGTCTCCAGGTGGTCCAAAACGCTGCCGCTTTTAACCAACTACCTTGCATTTGTGAATTAGTTCAGTTGTATTTAACTTTGAACTATAATACCTTGCATTTAATCATTTAGAACTGCTTGTTTCTCTCAAAATATTTCGACATTGTATTTTTTATTTTATTTTATAATTATTTCTTCATATATTTACCCTTTTATGTGTCATGTGACTTGGTGATATGAGGGAAGCCAAGTATTTGTTTTTTTAGGACTTGGTGTCAGAATTTGGCGTACCACCGGCCGCATTGGCACTGCTTTCCTCAGGATTGGCGCGCGCGTTTATGTTCCACGTGGAAACAATAATTTCATGGCTGTGTTCTTCCAGAGTGTGACTCACTTGTGCAGTACTGGTGATATCTGTCCCAGGCGATGGCGGCGATGAAGTGGATGCTGGCGAGAGCCGTCACGAAACCCTGAAATCCGTGAGTCTGACATCCCTCCGAACCATACGGCCAGTACCTGGAATACATATTATCCATGTAAGTCCATCATTTTACACAACCTCTTATCTGAGCTAGCAACTGAGGGAGAATGTTTTCACTATTTACTAAATGGAAGAGGAAGGCAGGTGAACCACTCGTAGGGCTCCCCCATCCATAATCCACACTCTCATGATCATGGTGACCGCCTCCCGATGACAGCATGGAAATAATGCGGTAATGCAAGGCTATTAATAATTCCTAGCCGTTGATGTAGCTGCACGTTAAAAACAAGAGTTAATGTTTATCTGGAACTAAGAGAGTAAATAGGTACAACTTGGAGATACAGGTGTGGCATAAAAAAAAAAAAAAAAAGTTTCGCTTTTTATCGGAAAAACAAGACAGCATTGTTATGAAGAAGTCACTTGTGGATGTATTTTCCGTGATATTTTTAAAAATATATGCGTACAGATCTTGGGAAAAAAACTAAATCAGGTTACATGTTGCATGTTATAAATAAATACTTAAATCTGCACATGCCGAACACAGAATATTCGACTGTCCACTGTAATTAAAGTTAATTAAAAAAAAAAAAAACAAGTTTAATTCAAAATTGAAATTGTTTTCGTTGAAGTTGTCAACTGACTGACAAAGCAATGTTTCATTCGCTAACATTCACTTAACATTTGTGTCCAATTCCTTTTAGCTTTTAGCTAGCTTACGGTGCCGTTCAAACTGTCCACACAAAAATATTAAATGCCCTTTAAGAATAAAACTTAAATAAAACTTCTCCACTCGGCAACTGTATTTTAATGTTTGCGATAATGGTAAAACCTTTATTTTGAGGTTGCCCTCTTTGTCGAAAGTTGGAAAAGGACATTCGTGGCTAAATGGTCGATGACGACAAGTGTTTTGCGGGGAGAAGCGCGCGAAACACGTCAACTCACCTGAGGAAGCTTGAGAAAGCCGCAACGGTGGCGTTCATGGAGATGCCCATGTCGGCCATGGCTAAACTGAACACGAGGAAATTGCTGGGGGTCCTCAGCTCCCTCACTTTGAGGAAAGCGGCGATGGTGACCGCGTTTAAGAAGAAGCCCATCAGACCTTTGAAGTGTGGAGGGGCGCGGGGAGAGGGTGGGGGAGGGGGGGGCACACACATGATGGCAACTGTCACTCGGGGACCGCGCGCACACATTTGCGCAACAAACGATTGCGCACGGAAGAAAAAAAACAAAACAAACACCCGAATTGTAATTGCAGAGTATGAAGAAATGGATGACACGCCACGCCACGCACGCGCGCACCCACGCCCACTGAGGGTGAGCGGCCACGGGGCTTTTTTCGTGGCCGTCTTCCAGGCGCAAAAGACTCACCCTCGACCATCAGACACGATCCCAGGGAGAAGACGTCAAACTCGGAGAAGCCCTCCGGTAAAGGGTACGACGAGACCATCCTCGGAGCCGATTTGTCAACAGCTTGTCACACGCACAAAAAGCCAAACGCACGCACACGCACGCACACGCTCGCCTCCTCTCCGTCCGACTGTTTACGCGGTGCCTCGGCCTGATTGGAGGGCGCTGGCTTTTTAAAGGGCCATTTCACGTGAAAAGCACGCCGTCGATTATGTAAAGCCACCACCCTCCTCGCGTCGTGTCGCCCCAATCCGCGCAGGAATGCCTTAAAACCGCGCAACTCTTTAGTCTAAAGCGTATTTGCCCTCCGCCGCGGACAGCAAAGCCTCTCAATTAGTTACACAACGAGCCTTTTGTGTGCGCGTGCTGGCGGCGAGGATGCCGAGGAAGGAGGCGGACGACGATGTCAAACGGCGAGCCCTCGAAATCTAGAGATGCGCACAACAGGTGTCCGCTAACGGCGCCATTCTCGCATTCAGCTGCCAAGACGGCGGTAAAGACAACAAAATGTGGAGAATTCTTCTCTTATCCACCAGCAACTTACTGTATACAAATCGTTCACCTCCTCCCCATCCAGGAGTCATTCATGCATTCCAGATGTGACTTAACAATATTTTACAAGGTATAAAAGGATAAGACGGGTTCTCTTCTTCAAGTAAGATAACTGTAGTCACGTGTTTTCAGTCTTAAAATGAACAGTCACGTTACGAAAAAGTTACAGAAATTAGACTTTGACTCGCCATGACAACGAGGCACTCTAAAGCAGCCACACCAGCGGATCACAGGAATGGAAGATGTATACTTGAGGCATTTTAGCAAGCGAGCGAGCTAACAGCACGTCACAATTTTGCGTTAAATAGAATTAGAAAAAAAAAATAGAATAAAATAATAATAGAATAAATTAATTAACTATAATTATAGGGAAATTGCCCTTGTTTTCCTCTTTGGCAATTCATTTTGTAAATGAGCTTTTGGAGTTTATTTGAAATGTTTTTCTCTCATTTTTACTGTACGGCTGTACAGAACAAGGAAGGTCAAACAGTTGATTGAGAATTGTAGTTGACTTGAATTTCTTACACAAACCTTTTTTTTTAAATCTTGTAGTGGACAAATATTCAGTGTATTAAAAATTATAAAAAAAGTAAAACTAACCAAGCTAACAAAAAAAAAAATTGAAATGAGGAATTTTCGGGGGAAAAAAAACAACCTAAAATTGACAAACATTCTCTAAAAAATAATTTAACTAAATTCAAAAAAGTCCCAACTCAATAAAAACGAATTCGAATGAAAAATCCCAAACTATTAGAATTGCTGGGAATGAGAACCAGGCACAGATGTGAACACGTGTTCATAGTCAGTCAGTAGTCTGAGGAGTTGATTCTAAGGCCAACGTTCAGCCGAATGAACGTTAAGATAAACACACCAAATGTGCAAAAAAAAAAAAAAAAAGAGAAAAGAAAAAGACCATCCAATCCATTCCTTCTGTGCAGATTTGTCATGTTTGATGTAGCGACAACGTCATCATTCGTAGCCTTTGGTGCCCCACGCTCGCAGGGTTAACAAACCTGACATTGTGTTGTGTTCAGTCTCGGGATTATAAGATCAGCAACGTTGGGAAATGTAGGTGAGAAAGTGCTAAATCGTGTGAAAGGTCAATTTCAAAAGATCCTGAACTGTTTCAATTTGTCAGCTTTAACGGTTCTTTGCCAAAATGTGCCCTGCAACGGGCTGGCTTGCCTTGACTTTGAAGACAAGCAAATAGAAAATGGAAGGATGGATGTCTATGGTATGTTGATATGTTAGTACAGTGCTAAAAATAGCGTGACCTGGCACCGCGTACGTAAATTTTACCGACGAACGAAATTGCCGTACTTCCTATATTTACGACATTGCAAGGACGGTCTTATATAGGAACAATGTAGACTCTACATTGTAGAGTGTTCATGACCTGTTAGTCGAATGGTTAGTGCGTCTGCGTCACAGTTCAGACGCAGTGGCTAATAAGGTGGGCGTGGCTGACTGTCAGAGTGAACGGTAAAATAATGGAGTCAACTTGTGACTCGACCAACCCGAAGAAAAGCCATTTATTCCATTTGGCATTATTTGTAGAAGACTATTTCAACCTTTTTTTTTCTCCATAGTAAGAATGACATTGCATCAAAATAGTCTACTACCACAACTTGAATCCAGCAAAGAGATTAATGACTTGCGCTATATGGAATGTTGGAGTTTCTTTCAACAATCGATTGCCCAAGAGATTAAGAGGCTCAAGGCAGGCCTTTGCGGTAGTAACACTACGCATACTTACTCACAAGGATTTGCCATACCAAAAAACGTGATATCAAACTTTAATCCAAATGTAGATTATCTGTTAATATGAATTCATGAATGTGAGAATGTCACGTTTCCTGTTCAACCCCATCTATCTGACCATAGTCCTGCCCTATCCTGTCCAATTCCATCTTATCCTATCCTATCCTATCCTATCCTTCATGTCCTGTCCTATCCTATCCGATCCTGTTCTATCCTATTGTATCCTTCATGTCCTGTCCTATCCTATCCTATCCTATCCTATCCTATCCTATCCTATCACATCCTATGTATCATGTCCTGTCCTAAACTATCCTATCCTGTCCTATCCTATTTTAGCCTAGCCTTTTTTTCGGTCATCATACAATTGAAAGTTCGAACTTCGGCTTGTTCTTTTGTCTTTAATGCTCGCTGTACAAATATTAACTACCACCAGAAGGCTGCATTTTCCCAGTTAAGACTGTTTTAATGACACCAGGAAGATCAAGTACACGGAGTGGAGCCTGATCAACCTCACAGATGTGGACGTGTCCAAAATTATTAGCTGGTCATCTCCTGTCTTCTGCCCACACCGGTGTAGCAAACTTTGTTTGAACTGGTCCCAGTGTGGGGAGTGCAATCGATAGGAAATGCAAGGCCTTGGCAAGTGAAAAGGTCACAGCAATAAACAAATCAGCTCAAGTCCCATCTATTATCCGAGCCGCTTATCCTCACGAGGGTCGCAGGTGTGCTGGAGACGATCGCAAATGTCTCCGCATCCTTTCCAATCTGAGACTTTGCCTCGTCTATCCTGTCCTACCCACCTTCAAAACATATTCAACCCCATCTTTGACCATTTCCTCAGAATGCGGTTCTAGAGTGCGCACATTTGGAGGGCAATGACTCATGGTCTTGAAGGTCTTGGTAGTACAAAGTCCGGGAGCTCCAAAATACACCAAGTTCTTAGAATGAAACAAAAGCTTTATAGTCGGAAGCACTTTGCAAAAGCAGCCCAGGATTGTCGCCAAATGGGTTATTGAGTTGATATCCAAAATCTCCTTTCACCCACTTTTTCCTCCCGTTGCCCTTTTCATGTAAGATAGCCGAAGCGCTTGCGTCCAACACAAAGTATCGTAGGACGCTGGCGACTCCCAATTCGCTGCAATGGAAAGAGTCAAGCTGCCGCCAACATTAAACTGTTGCTCACCCTATCGGCGCCTGAGTTTTGTCACTTTTTTCATTTTTGATATCTCTATTTCAAAAGGCTGTAATTTGAAAATGGTTCATCATAACGGTATACTGTGAATGTTGCTAGGCGCAATTTTGCTACTTTGGTGAACGTTTTTTCTCATCTCGTGTTCTGTCAAGACGGTGAGACTGGTCTTTTGTTTTGTATGACTAGATAAAATGATAAGATGTCCACTGAAGGACCACTTGAAATAATTGGTTTGCTTCGCTTTAATGAAGTCACAAAAAAAAAAAAAAAATACCGCTGTTATTTTTTTCTCAGTTTTATCTCATAATCGGAACTTTTAGTATCTCGTTATGATGCGATGGCGTCTCCTAATTATGACTGAGTAGCTTGTAATTATGATTTAGCGTCTTATTGTTATGATTTAGTATCCCTATATGACTATTATTCTTTTTGCCTGGCAGAAACGCGGTCTTCCATCGTCTTCAATGACAGACGAAGGGCACATTGATCAAAAAAAAAAAAAAAAAAAAGCACAAAAAAAAAAGCGCAGCCAACATCTGCACCAGCGCCGCCCGGCTGTGATGTGCAGGGGCCCCCTTGTGGTCAAAACGCAGCGGTGTCCGCTTGCAGATTAACAGTCACGGCACAGCTCAAATGAACAAACTACATTTGTGAGGCAAAAGAAGAAGAAGAAGAAGGGGGGAAAAATCGTCACAAACATCAGAGAGGGATTATGACCGTTTCGGAAGTGTGTGTGATAACAAACATGGGGGGGCTTGGGGAGGGGGACGTCTCCGCTCAGCCTATCGGATTGCGTGGACGCAATAAACGCATCCAAATGAAAAGAACGCCAGTTCCCCCCCCCCCCCCCCGCACTAATCCTTGTCTATCCTTTTTATCTGGGGACTCAAAGGCAGTCTGATCACTATGGGACAGCGGAGTGGTGGAGAGAAGCCATGCGGATGATATTCCCGTAGATGAGAGAGGGGCCAAAAGTTGGTTGCAAAAAGTTGTGCAAATGCATGTTGGGCGCGCTGCGTAAAAGTGGGCCAAAAATGTTCCTCGTCCTAGTCGTGGGGCTCTACGCGGCCACGGGTGGTCTTTTCTCCCCGGTGAGCGGCTGCCCGTCCCAGTGCAGCTGTTTTTACCACAACCTGAGTGACGGCTCCAAGGCCAGGTAAGCGCAAGCGTTCGCATTCGGCGCGCTTTTTACGCACGCGCGCACGTCTTTCACTGGTGACATTTTTGGAGGTTTGCAATGTGGGGTCGACATGTGCAACAAAGATAAATCAGGGAGTTCAAGTTGTTTCCAATTTTACTGAATGCAGGATTATTTTTTTCAAAGGCACTTTCAAACTCGCCATCAGTGCGCTTTAGCTCAGTTTGGGAGGTTATTTTTATAAACTCTCTCTCTCCTTTGCATACAACCTTTGAGGGCATCACCACAAATTATGACCTGACATATGTCCACCAATGAGCTCCAATACATGAAATATATGAAAGAAAATCAATGATTAAAATGGAAAGTTAAGCAATTTAAATTCAATGACTGAAATTGTAAAAATATGTTAAATGGTGAAATGCTGGCAATTAATAACATAAAAATAACTGATATTAAAAAAAAAAAAACAGTTGGTAGAGTTGGTGCATGCAACTCCACACAGGATCCTGGATTCGAACCGGCAACCTGTAAACTGTGAGGCAGATCGGGAAAATATTCTGATGAATATCTGATTATCATTGTCGAAAGAAAGCCGCGAGTGTGTGAAGCTATCTCTGCCTCCGTCGTGTCTTAGCATATTGTATCTTACTCTGTTATCTCATCTCGAACCGAATCTCAGTCTATCATCTCATTTAATATAATTGTATTCCAGCATATCGTATCTCATCGTATTTTAATGTGTCACATCTCATCCTATGTAATTATATCCCAGCATATCGTATTGAACAGTATCACAATATCGTATCGGATTGTATTTTATCGTATCTCCTGATATCATATTTGACTGTCTGATATCACATCTCAGTGTTTTCGTATCTTATCGAACTTAGCGTATCATATCTCACTGTATAGGTGGACCAAATGTGTCCGGTTAGCATAATGATATTGATGTTGTGTATAATGTGCATGTGTCTTCGCCAGGAGTGTGATATGCAATGACCCCGAGATCTCGCTTGTGCCTGTCGGCTTCCCGGTGGACACGTCCAAGCTCCGCATCGAGAAGACAGCCATCCAGCGGATACCGAGTGAAGCCTTCAACTACCTCTCGGGTCTGGAGTTCTTGTGGATGTCCTTCAACGCGCTGTCCGTGCTGGGCGCCGACAGCTTCCGCGGACTCTTCAACCTGGAGGAGCTGCGCCTGGACGGCAACGCGCTCGCCGCCTTCCCCTGGGAGTCACTCGGCGACATGCCCAGTCTGAGACTTCTGGACTTACACAACAACCAGCTCACCTCGCTTCCCGCGGAGGCCACCACACACATCAGAAACCTCACCTACCTTGACCTGTCCAGCAACAGTTTGCTAACGCTGCCCGTCGCCGTGCTGGGCAACTGGCTGGCGGCCAAACCCGCCCAAGGACCCGAGAGCTCCAAAATGATCTTGGGTAAGGACGTGTATGTTTATGTACTTCCGGTCATCTTTCGGCTAAACAAAAGCAACACAGATGAAAGCGTTCTCTTTTCATGCGCGCAGTGTCCACCTGAGAGACATTTCTTGACCTCCATAACTGTTTAGAGTGCTCCTCCATGACTTGGACGAACTGCCGTTTCTCAAAAAGCCACGCACGAGAGGATACAGTAGCCAGTTTGACTTGCAAGTACATAAACACTCCCTTTAACTCTTTCAGGGACAGTGGTTAGTACCGTGGACAGCTTCTCATGTTATCAGGTTACAGGGTGCATGAAAGGGTTAAAAACTGCATTCCCACAAATCTTTGTGAGGGAATGCAAAGAACGATATATTTCTTGGATTTCCAACTTTTTCTTACTCAACGTTCGTTCAGCGTAGACTCTTAAAAACAGATGGGTCAAAAATCACTTTGTCAAAAAGGGACTGACCACCACTTGAGTCAATTTAACCCCAAAACAGTTACCCAGCACAAACAACCCAGGATCTGAGTTACGGCATCAGCCATCGATTTGACCCCAAAATGTGTTTACTCTCAAAAATTTGGCCCCTCACAAGCAACCCACGATTTGGGTTGACTAATTAGCAACCCAGCAAATTGTTCGAAGAGTGCAGTCCTAGCCTTCATCTTTTTTTCCCTTCTTTTTTTGCCACACTCGCTCATACTTCTACATGCTTCTTGTTAGCACTCACTTCCTAAAGAGCCAAGGTTAGAAAAAAGATTTTCGGAAAATTACTTGCACAAAACAAAAAAGTACAGATACCGATACTTTCACTGTGAGGTGAACTAACAGAGGCCAGATGTTGTGAAGTTCACTGCTGCCATCTAGTGGCGGAGTGTTTGGAGTACTGGCGATCTTGTGAGAATGTACTCACTAATTGACCATCTCAGTGTAAAATTTGGCCCTGTTTCGCTGAACGCACAGCCATTATTCGGTTTTCTGAATGGCAACAGCTAGAAATGCAGGTTTATTGGAAACGCTGCCATCTAGTGGAAGATCGTTTACTTGTTCTGCTGTCACTCTACATCAGGAGTCTCGAACCCAGCACCTCAAGGGCATCCGTCATTTTTTTCGACGTCTCCCTCCTCCCACACACTTGATTCAAATGATCGGGATGGTTATCAGGCTTCTCAGAACTCACTAGTGAACTCACAGCTCACTCGTGAGCTGATCATTTGAATCTGGATAGGGAGGATTCCTTGAGGATCCGGGTTGGGCACCCCAGTTCTATAGCATTGACATTGAAGTTATTTCACAGGTGTCAAACTGTGGTCCACGAGGGGCGTTATCCTGCATGTTTTAGATGTCTCCCTCCTCCAATTCACCTGATCCAAATGATCAGCTCATCAGCAAGCTGGCTCTTCAGGAGCCTGATAACGATCCTTGAAAACAGGGGCTTGGCTTAATGATTTATCTTCAGGCAGTAGATTAAGATTTTCCTGATCGGATCCTATGATTTTATTCATCTTTACAGGGATGACAAAGTAACGTGCTGATGAATTAGAAACTGTCTGAAAAACAAAATCACCCATTTAGAACGACTAAACCGTCTTATAAAACCTATTTGTGACTGAATAGAAAATGATTCCATTTAATATTTCTTCGTGCTGAAAAACCCGCACTGGGCTTGCATCCGAAGTATTTTGTGGCGTGCGTCGCATGTTAAAAAGTGCTCCCAATTATCAAATGGAAGCCAACACTGAGAGCAGCTGTTTGCGCTTCCCATGTCAAAGCTGATGGTCAAGGGCACGAGACCGAAATGACGTCAGAACCTGACCTTGACCGCCACCCTCCTCCTCATCATCATCATTGCCATAGTCATGCTCCCGAGGTGGTTTATGAATTATACGTTTATCCTCTTACATGATTAACGTTCTCCGCATTGGCCATCTGCAGGCCGCTCCATCGCGCTTGCGACGACCTTCCTCACCTGTAACCCCCCCCCCTCCCTTTCAGGTCTCCATGACAACCCGTGGGCGTGCGACTGTCGCCTGTATGACCTGGTCCAGTTCCAGAAGTCTCCCACTCTGGCCGTGGCGTTCATCGACACCAGGCTTCGTTGCTCGGCCCCCGAGAGCGTGTCGGGCGTTCTGTTTAGCGACACCGAGCTGCGACGCTGTCAGCCCCCACAAATCCACACAGCCGTGGCACGGGTCCGAAGCGCCGTTGGGAATAACGTGCTACTCCGGTGCGGGACGATCGGGGTGCCCATTCCTGATCTGACGTGGCGGAGGGTGGATAAGCGAGTCCTGAATGGAACGGGTGAGTCTGCGGACCTTTTTGCTTTGAAGGTGACTTGATTATCTTTGGAAATGTACAAAAACGGGCTGGCGCGATCACATCAGGTCAGATAATCGTGTCTTGTTCCAAGTATAGTGACCTGCTGCATCTTTGGGGTAGACATTTTCAAGATTTTTTTGTGTCATTCACTTTGGCACCATATGATGGCATCTGGGTGCCAGGGAACCGTTGCAGTGAGTTGAGGAGCTTCATTTAGACAAACAAAGTTCGTTACCTCCATCTTGCGGCTACTACAGGCAATTCCAGTATAGTCATACCTTTTTGGGTGTGGGTGAACCCACCTGCAGAGCAGGGTTGACCCCTTGAATAGAAGATCTAATATACTACGTTCTCTGCATTTGCGCTTCGTAATCTCTCCTCTTGCCATTACAATGAATGAAACAAAAATACAAGTCTTTGGATCTCTGAGTCATTATTACATCCATCCGTCAATTTCTTACAGCGCTTGTTCTCATTCAAGTCATGGGTGAGCTGGAGCCTACCCAGCTAACTTTGGGTAAGAGAAAGGATATGTACCAAGCCAATCAGTCGCAAGGCCCTTTGAGACAAGCAGTCATCCACACTCACACCGATTGTCAATTTTGCGTCTTCAATAAACCTCACATGTTTTTGGGGGGGAATTTGGGAGGAAGCTGGTGTAGGAAATTCATACAGACGATTAACGCTCAAGCATGTGCTAACCACTACTCCACTGTGCTGCCCTGTGTTTAGAAAATTTAAATGTTGCCACAACAGAACCTAACGTGAAATCACGTCTTGTCTCCCACAGTCCAGCAGGAAACGTCCAAAGATGGAATCACCTGGTCCATCCTCAGTGTTCCAGCCGTGTCCTATCGCGATTCCGGGAAATATATGTGCAAAGCGACAAACTACGCTGGGAACGCCGAAGCGGTCATTTCCTTAGTGGTATCGAATTCTCCGAAACTTGAGGGCAATCAAACCAGCAACGAGAAGAAAGCCAAAGTAAAAAAATCCAACCCGGTTGGAAAAGCAGCCTACCAGGAGAAACTGGTGGCCCGATACGTGGTGCCAACCTCCACCCCTACATCCCCACCTCCGGTCCTGGATCCTGGCCTTCCACCTGAAATCCCTGACCCCAGTTTGGACAGTCCCAGTCCTTCCCCTGATCCGGCCGCGTCGTCTAATGCGGACACGTTGCTGGATCTGGAGAAGACCAACCTCAGCAACTTGGCTGCAAACACCTCGTCTCTGCAGCAGGACCCGGATCGGGTGGTCCGCTCAGTGAAGGTCGTGGGGGACACGGACAATACAATCTCCCTCAACTGGAGAGCTCCCAAGGCCAAGAACACGACCGCCTTCAGTATACTGTACGCCGTCTTTGGCGAGAGAGACATGAGGAAGATCAACGTGGGGGCAGGCCAGAACAGAGTGACCATCGAAGGTCTGGTGCCCAGGACCAAGTACATCGCCTGCGTGTGCGTGAGGGGGCTCATCCCCAAAAAGGAACAGTGCGTCATCTTCTCCACAGACGAGGCGGCCAGCGCGACCGGTACCCAGAAACTGATCAATGTGATCGTGATCACGGTTGCTTGCATCATCGCCGTGCCCCTCACCGTCATCGTCTGTTGCGGGGCCCTGAAGAGACGCATCCAGAAGTACTGGGGTAAAAAATCCAAGGACATCCAAGATTCCTACGTGACCTTTGAGACATTGTCACCCGGGACCAAAGCCAAAGGACTGGAAGGGGAATACTTGAACAGACTTAACCCAGAAGAGTCCAACAGGCTGCTTTCAGCCCGCTCCAGCCTGGACTCCGAGGCCACGGCTAAAATCGAAGGACAGCCTAACGAGTACTTCTGCTGACGTCATGCTCCAGCTCCGGCTCCTCCGCCGCGTCACCTTCCTCGCGCTCATCATCCTCCTCCTCCTCCACCGTGTCCCAGTCCCAACCACCACGTGCATCCTCCCCCGCAGCCTCACTTCCACCCGTATCCGTATCCACAGCACCCCCCGTACGCTCACGCCCGGCCGCATCCTGACGTGAGCCCCCCCGCCGGCCACCCTCCACACATGCCCTGGGATTCCTCCCCTCCCGTGCCTCCTCGCTGGATCACGCCACCAACTCCGCCTCCACCCCGAGCCAATTTCTATCAAAGGACCTTTGCACGCTGCACCATCATGGAAATATCCGTATAGGGGGATTGCAGTGATTCAACCCAAAAGGGAAAACCCCCCTAAAACGATAAATACTCCATTGTCAATATGTATGTGTATGATTTGTAAATACTTTTATGGACAGTGTACACTTACATAAACGGTCAAGTCTGTGCCTCTGCATATATCCGTCATACGTTCTCAGAGGAGATTTCTAAATCTATATGTACACACGCATGCATGGTGAGCGTCGACAAGCTGGAGCTGGAGACAAGCGCAGAAAGGACTGAACTATGACGCCGTGTAAATAAAGACGTGGGACTATTTCTGTTCCCCAGCGCTTCTTTCCGTTGTATTTGTTTTTTGCGCCACCAAGAGGCATCCGCCACCCCAGTAGCTGTAGTCATTTATTCCATTCAGGATTTAAATAGAGCGAAATAAACTTTTCTATGACTACAGACAGATGTGTGCCGTGTGTGTGTTCCTATGTGGCGTTCCTGTGCGGTAATTTGCTCGCGGTCGTAGTTTAATTTGCTTGTGCGGAACCGCAACTTCAATCCGTCGGTGCCTTAACGTCAAGGTTGAAACAGCAGACCTGGAAATGTCATCAGCCAGTGGCACCTTCCAATCTCTTACTCAAGGGCTGCTTATCAGTGGGCGTCTCCTACTTAAACGAATAGTGGGTCAGACCTGCTGACACTGTCAAGAATTAGGTGTTGTGCACTCGGGGATTAGTCCTAATAAGCTTCCCCTTCGTCTGCCTCACTCGACATGTCTTGAGCACGAATGCCGCCCGACGTTTGGGCAATTTTATGCAGACTATGGACAGGATTGGTTACCTGCTAGTTGTAGTTCTGTTCCACGTCCGAGGGTCCGAAAGTTTTTCTCAGTGTTTGCGAGGGTGCAGCTGTATAGAAGACCGTCACGGAAGGTAAGACTTAATCTTCACCGAGCTCGACCTTGTTTCGGTTTCAGTGTGGCAATGAAAACGTCGAGTTGAACCCGTGTTGTAAACTCGAATTGACGGACACAGCCGTGGATAAAAATTAAAAATTTTCAATGGAATTTTGGTGTTTTGTTGAATTTAGTCGTAACTAAACTTTATACTTAAACCAGTAAATACAATCAAAGAAACGACATATTTTACACGGGTTTCTTGATTTTCTTCCGATGAGGATACTGTTGGTCTGAATTAATGCTTGAATTAACTCGTAGGTCTCTCATATGTATGGAGGAGAATGAGTTTGGGGCCATACCAGAGAATATTCCCCACGATGTGACCAAAATCCGAATCGAAAAATCCCGCTTCACTGAAATCAAGCGCGGGGCTTTCTCCAGAACACCCGGCTTGGAGAACCTGTGGTTAAACTTCAACGATATTACCCTGATCAACTCCAAGGCTCTCGAAGGTTTGAGCAACCTGACCGAGCTCCGCCTGCAAGGAAACAAGCTGCGTTCCGTGCCATGGACGGCGTTCGAGGACACCCCGGGCCTAACGATCCTGGACCTGAAGCACAACCAGCTGGATGTGTTGCCGGAGCATGCGTTAAAAAATTTGCCCGATCTGACTTACTTAGACCTATCCTTCAATCGTCTTACAGTCATATCCAAGGAAGTCTTCCAAAACTGGCCTCTGTACCAAAAACTGCAGAGCGCGGAGGAGCAGGAGGCGAGCTCTTCGGGGCCGAACATCATCCTGGCGCTCCACGACAACGCCTGGCTCTGCGACTGCCGCCTCAAGGGCTTCGTGGAGTTCATCCGCTCCCTCAGCCCCCCAATTATTCTGATGAACTCCTACTTGACCTGCTCCGGGCCGGACTTTAGGGTGGGCAAGTTCTTCCACGAGGTCGAGCTGCAGGCCTGCGTAAAGCCCGTGGTTACCACCCCGTCGGCCACCCTGAGCCTACCGCTGGCCGCCAACGTCACGCTGCGCTGCCTCGCCAAGGCCCGACCGGACCCCGCGGTGTGGTGGACATATGGTCTGAAGATAATCAGAGGATTTCATGGTAAGATCCACAGTGTGACGTTCAGGGAGGGGGATCGCCTGATATCTTGTGTTAAATTAGATACTTATGCGCTCATTTTAATCACAGACTTCTATAAAGCTTCCCTTAAGAGGACTCAATCTGGATGATGTGTCGAGCCGAGCGCCATCGGTGTTTGCAGATTACCGTGCGCCGTGTAGGCTTGGGTGGACGGTGTCAGCAGCCATGTTGAGACTACACGAGTAAACCTGCTTGCGCTTAAACCTCTTGCAGGGGGATCGCTTTAATTCAACCTGACCAGAATAGGGGTCCCCTTGCCATGGAGTACACTAAGTTGGATGTATAGTCTTGGAAGTAAAGTGGTACCTCTACTTATGATCGTTTCTTCATATGAAATTTTCACGTTACCAAACGTCTCAACAGGAAAATATTGCCTCGTGTTACGAAATAAATTTCAAGACACGAAAGGTAATAATACAGCATGGGCTGCTTGTCGCAGCTCCGACTTTCCTGAACGCAACATACTTACAGCTGCTCTGCCATTGGCTATTACCGAGCATCTTCCTGGCATCCCATTGGCTAAGAGGGACCTCTACTGAATGTGTCTACGTGTGTAAATAGATACATGTGTCTATGCAGCGTCCTTGTCATTCGCCCCTCAGACCATGAAGCGTTCCGATAGTTTTACGAAATATGATTCACCCAGAAAAAGTGTTCACCGGTCGGGCGATCGCTCACGATGCTGATGTTAAACCTTGGGCATTTTTGAAGGATTGTTAAAAGTCGACAAAATGTCCTTGGATCAGTTCTTTACAAAACGCCAGGCAAAAAAACACTTCTGAGAGAGAACATGAACAAAAGAGGGCAAAAAACGATCAGGACGCAGTTAAAAGTTAAATGACCATCATTTTTATTTTTTACTCTATTCTTTGTTTTTCACATTATGCACAACTCTGATTTATTGTGCAATAATCTAATTGTAACATGTATTTGTTACATATTTTGATGCATTTTTATGCTTAAGAAAACATTTATGTTTGAATTTTGGAACGGATTAGGGCATTTACATGGAAAACGCGTCTCTACGTACAAAACTTTCTAGTTCGGAAATGTCTTCCAGAACCACTTAATTTCGTAAGTAGTAGAGGTACCACTGTACTTCGAAGAACTTCTACTTTAAGAGTCATGGAACAGCAACTCATACAAACAGAGCAAGAGCATACCGTACAATACTCGGTCATATATTCTGTCTCCTCCATTAGAACGAAAACTGGCGTTCCTCTGTTCTAGTTCTTGAGCATTCAAAAGATATCTAATGTTCTTACCTTCTGTTCAGAGTCTCAGGAGAGAGTGGATCAAGACACCATTCGATCACTGCTGGTGATCCCTTCGCTCCACGCGGCTGACCGCGGCGTCTACACATGCAATGCCGTCAACTTTATCGGAAACTCCTCGGCGAACATCCAGGTGGACATCCTCACTCGTGACGGCTCTCAGCCGCCGTCTCTTCCCGGCTTCCCAGTGGATGAGGAGAACGTCTACATTGACATCCGCATCGCCAAACAGACTGTGCGGGGCATCTCCATTGAATGGTTCGCCGTCTTGGACCGCCCAGACCAGACATGGTTCACTGTCCATTTGGGCCGCGCCAACACCGACAAGAAGGAGACGATCTACATCGGCCCGGGCATCCGTTCGTATTCCGTCTCCGACCTGTTGCCCGCCACCAAATACGAAATCTGCGTGACGCTCAAGAATCAGACGCCGCGGCCTGGCCAGTGCGTGGTGTTCGTCACAGGAAGCGACATCACCGAGATGGAGCAGCGGGAGAAGCTGATCCACATTGTGGTGATTGTCCTGGCCATGGTGCTGGCCGTTCCCATAGGCATGTACGCCTGCACCACCGACACCAAGTTCACCTGCCTGGACGCCCTGATGGAGTTTTGGAAGAAGCGGCGCAGCGAGAGAGGATCGGCGGTGTTGGAGCGCGAGAGGCAAGGCACCTTCGACAGCCTGCAGGCGGCCAGCGATGAGGGCCTGGTCCGGAAAGAGTCCAGTGAGGACAGGAAGGTGAGGCGGAGGTCAGATGACAGGCCGCTTAAGAGTAAGGCCGACCACAGCAGAATCACTGCAGAACTATACTAAACAGCACCAAACATTTTACAAGCAATCACAATGCAGCACTTGGTGATTGTGATGAAGTCGTGTGCTATCCCTGCTGATACTCTCTACTCTTTCTGTTCTAGGGCGGGAGGTTTGTTGAGAAGGTGTGATTGGTCAAGATTGTTATTCAAGGGATTGCACCAGTGTAGAGATGTACTTCATTTATTTTCAATTTCTCTCTAATTCTGATATCATTCTGTTATCATTCAGTATGTGTATTATTCTGCTGCCTTTGTGACTGACTTGGGCTTAATAGCACATTTGCCGTTTCGACAGTGGTTACCTCAACCTTTTTAGGACAGGTATTTCACGGACCAGAAACTGTTCGTTGACGGCACGGGTGGGTCGGTGGGATGCCGGGGGGAGGGGTTTGATGTACAATCCCAATCGGGACCTATATGCTTTGGTAGAAAGAAAAAAACAAACCAGCAAATGCTTTACCAGGTACTCACGTTGAATGACTATACAATGCGCCTTGAAATATGAAAGACTCAACTTAAGTGTATTTTAAGTTCTAAGTTTGGACAATCATTTCCTTTAACTTTTGAGCGAAAACCTGAGATACGAGTGCTGTACGAGTGTATTGAACTCAACTCACTGTCTCAAATAATCTTTTTCTATTGACATGAAGGGAAAGCCCATTAATCTGTTCCAGCCTCTTAACAACAAGCAACACATTGCCAGATGGTATTGGTGATATCTGTTTCCTGAAATTCACATTTGAAGCTTACTTTGAAACGAAACATGAAACGAAGAGAATAATAGTTTGTGCATTAAAAAAATTACATAGCTCAGCCTTTTAGTCATCAAGCTTAATGCTAACAAATAGCATCTGAATGGCAGTGCTGTAACCCATGAAGCAACCGACGGTGCACAAACAGTACAGCAACACTCGTAGACGGATAATGTAACACTACTCCCAGTCATATATTCTTTATCCTCTGCAAGAACAACTAGCACCGTACTGAGGAACTGAGAGGAGTTGAGAGGTCTCAATGAACACTATGCTGTATCTGTCTGTCTGTCTGTCTTGCACTGCCCCCAGGTGGTCAAGGTGGCCACACCAGAATGAGCAGCACAATGTACGTTCAACAGTGTGACAAAAAAACTGTTCAGTTCTTTTTCATTCTATTTAACTATGTCTTTGCTCTACGTTTTTGTACGGTATATGAGGAGCAGTTCTTCCCTCATTAAAATGCACATTACACAAATTTTTGTTGGTTTTTTTGGCAGGTGGCTGGAAGAGATCAATGGCATTTCCCTTCATTTATAAAGAAAAATAAGTTTTGAGACAGTGTGGTCATTGAACAAATT